GTGGAGGCAATGTGGAATAATTCTCTCCTGCCTCCTGAGCAGGCTTGGGCTGGTGCCAGGAGCATGCAAAAGGCCTAAGCACCACTTCAGACTCACCTGAATGGAGCAGGAATTTCAACTTGACAAGACTGTGGAAAGTGCTTGGGCAGAGTTCCGGGCTCTGAATGCTACTAACCAAAAATAAGTTTTGAGGGAGAGGGGAATAGGGCAGAGCCTGGGGCTCTAAGGGAAGGGGAGGAGCCTGTAGCAATCCTCAGCAAGGAGAAACTGTTCTGCTGTTTGGGACAGTGAATTCTGAGGTCATGTTAGGGTCACTGAAGACTCTACAGTTTGGCCACATCCCTTGTAAGATGTACTAGTGCTTGCTCTACCAGATAGTTGGTGCTATGACAGCAAACAGGCCTGTCCTCTCTGAAGGGGCATTTAACAGGGAAGACTAGTAGGTATGCCACCACCCTTGCCTTCCATTTACTCCTGTTAGAGTGTAGTTTTCAATCTATTGCTCTCTGCAGTACTTGCATTGCTATGTGGAGAGACCTGGTTTCACTTTAATCCTGTTAAAATTTTTGGGATGCCTTCTAAAGCTGAGAAGCATAGGAGGTCTGTGCACTGGAGAGCCACATCTCATGTTCCCTAAATTCTCTGTCTTCTTTCTAGAGGCAAATGCTGCAGAAGAAGCAGATATGCGTGTGGCTGTGGTCATCAGACCAGGCAATGCAGGATTAACAGATGATGAGAAATCATATTACAGTCTTGTCGCATCTTTCAGTGAACTGTGCCTGCCATCTTCTCCTTAGAACTTTTACGTGACTAGAAGACTAAACTGTGGCTGATGAAATTGACCATTTCGCCCTGGTTAGTTATGTTGGTAATAAGAGTGTTTTGCTTTTTTAAATAGGTATGACATCCATGACTTGTTCAGATGTTGAGATCAGTGTATTTTAGGTGGGATTCCTAGAGCAGTAAGACTGAGGCCTACAAAGTGAAGTCAGCTGGAGTTGTGAGCAGTTTGAGGAAGCAGCATCTAAAAAAGTTGCTGTTGCTTAGCTCCCCTAACAGGGGAATTGCTACCAGAGGAAAAAACTCTACCAGCTACCTAGTTTTGAAAACTTATAAACGGTGTGCCATCTTTACAAATAAAACATTCTGTGAATAAAGCATTTCTCACTCCAGCTGACTTTTGGCTCTTACAAGGAAATGCCTCTCTCCTAATAGGGGTAATAAATCATTTTCTGGGTAAGGAGAAAACAACATTAAATTAAGTCAATTTACTTCCCTAATAAGTTAGACCATGTATGTTCAGTATAACCAAAGTTAAATATGACATATAGACCACGATACTGTGGTTTTGATCTGTCACAGTCTGGCAACAAAGAAGTTCTTTAGCCTGAAGTGAATGAACAACACTGTCTAAACCCTACAGCACCACCCATAAGGTACAGAGGCACACTGCAAGCCTAGCAAGAAAATTAGGCTATATATAGGGGGTTTTTTTAAAGAAACAAAGATAAACCCACATGTACTAATACAGTGCAACATTGGGCTCCAGAACCTGCTGCATGCTAGAGCAGATTTTATCTTTGTAGTATTTTTCAGCAATAATGCCTGAAGACTCTCAAGAGGCTACAGATTGGTTCCCTACCCTATAACCCAGATCATCTGGGAATAGATATTTAACAGGAATACTTCACAATGGTCACTTTCTACTATGTTTACTGACAACAAATTTGTTTCAGAAAACACAACTACGGAACAGTACTGCTTAAACTGTGCTGACTTGTACAAGGTGCTCGTGTAGCATTTCCTACTGTGGTGAATAAAACATAGTTTTGACTTATTAATGCCTAACACCATCCAGTATCTGTCATTTCACTATCTTATCAGGGCCAAAGTACAACCCTCAGCATCTTTTTATGCTGCCGCTACATTTGTGGAATGGTTTTCTTACCTGTAACATGCTATTCTTTTCTGCAGTCCAGCTAAGTCTTCTGCTGCAGAGGTATTTGTGTGTTGAACTCATACTTCTTTTTTTGTTTTGGTGGGAGTTCTCCAGGTGTTTCAAGGATGTGAGCAGGAAATAGGCTACCTATTAATAGCAGTCAACAACAGGTGCAGCCCAGAACTTAATGAACTGATTTACCACTGCTATGCATTTTTTTTGTAGATTGCTAGCCACTAAGTGGTACTACCTCCACTTGTGAAGAGTGGCTGTACAAATGGATGTACAAAATGCAAAGGAAGGGACATTTAGATGATTTAAAGGTGAGATCAGTGTCGGAGGGATAAGATTTGATGTCTCCTACTTTTTTTTTTCTTTTTAAAAAATTAAAATAAAAAAGAAATCTCCCTCCTACTGGCAAAGCTGCATGCAGACAGGAGAAGCCTATGCTCTCTCAGATGGAAGGTCTCCAAGAGGCACCTACCGTACATCAAAGATGTGTCCTTACCCAACAGAATATTTGAAGGTTTCTAATTTAGTGCTGAAGACCTTCTAGGACATGCTGACCCATATCTCAAAAGCACGAAAAAAGCACAAGCCTGCAGCAACCCCTTTATGAAGAAGTTGGAAATGAAATACATTAAACTACAGCGAGGGAACTCCCTCTCCTCACCAGGAGAAAGAAAAAAACCCAGAATTTTTTAACCATAATTTCTACTTTATTTGTCAAGATCCCAGTCAATATTGTCTTCCTAGGAAATCTGACTAGAAAGAACAAAATGATTAGGGAGGAGAGCAACAAACTTTTCTAGAAAAATTAGGAATAAGAGAAAAGGCTGACTACAGCATTAGCTCTGGAAAGGCAACTACACCTCACTATCACACACATCAGATAGCTGTACCACTTATGGTCTGTAGATGAGGTGTAAACTGAAGAGGATTCAATATTGCAGCTGATGGTAAAATAAGAAACACAACTGGGAGCGGCCTGCTGAGCCACACAATCCAGTCCCCACAGTCACAGGCAACCTGTTACACACCACTACCACAAATCATCTGTGAAAAAACCCTTCAGCAACATAACACAAGTAAACATGCTTGGAGAATCCCATTCTAGAGGGAAGCAAATTCTTGTGTCTAATGATCCTTGTTAATCTGATTGTAAGAAAAAAAAACCCCGCGACCCTAAATATGGGGACTGATTTCAATGAGTGCATGTGCAGGACCCCCCAGCTAGACACCTAAAAAGTTTCTAGGGACCAGGAGTGCACTCCAGCCAATCCGCCACCTCTATCCATTGCCAACTTCCAGTGCTTCAGAAGGCAGCTCAGGATATGTATCCACACACCAAATAATGTATTCATGGTGAAAAAAAAAAAAAAAAAATATTCTTCCTGGCTTTTCAGGTGACTAACAAAAGCCACGAGGTATAGGATTATCACACACTTCTCAGAGAGGCTGTGTTTCCTTTAAACGGTTCCATGAAAATACTAAGGACTTGAGATTGCACATATAGCATGCTCTGATGACTGCATCAAAGACGACCACTATCCTGTTATACTACCCCTTTCACAGAGTTAGAGCTCCATCTTGAAGCAATTCAGAGTCCTTACCACAACTTTTTCTAAGAAGCCATTCCAAAATGTAATTCCTCGACTGGTTAGAAGCCTTCTAAATTCCATCATTTATTCATTGTTCTCTAATTTAAATAGCTCTTCTCCCGCCCTGATTATTGTGCTCCATGAATGCATTTTTAAAGAGTAATCTCATTTTTCATTTTCCTAAATTAAACACACCAAGCTTTTTTAATTTCCACCCAGAAGACAGGGTCTCCATTCCCCTAACCATCCTAGTACCCCTTCTCTTTACCTGTTCCTTTTTTAAATTAATATTTTTGAACATGTGACCAGAACTGTACACAATATTCTAAACAGAATCCTACCAGGGCTTCATACACTGATACTAATGCTTCCATGTCTCTACTAAAAATATTCCACTCAATGCACCCTAACATTTTTTCATGACTGCATCATACTTATGACCAGGGATCCTGGTTTTCTCTGATAAAAATAAATACATAAATAAATAAAAATCACAAATTCTCTGATAAAACAACCCAAAATCCGTTATTAAATTAAAAGCTTTCTGCAGCCTCCACCCCAGCCCTGCTGGTGCCCCTCACTGCCCCCACAACAGCCCCCCCAACCTACTTGTGCCTCTTGCCCCCACCCACAGCCCCTGTCCCCCAGCCCTGCTGGAGGGGGCCCCCAGCTGCCAGGGCTATGGGGCTAGGGCCCCAAGTCTGCAGCTCCCTGCCCCCAACAGCAGGCAGCTGCGGCAAAAGCAGCATGGAGCTGGCTCTCCCACTACTCTGCCTGCTTGGGTGGGGGCGTGCCAGCTAGCTGTGATCCACAACTCCCCAGCCCCCTGCAAGCCCCACTTACCTCAGGCTCCAGGAAGCTGAGCTGAGAGGAGCTGTGGCCAACTGAGTGCCTCAGCCCCTGCTCTTCCCCCTCCCTCTCTGGGCAGGGCTGGGGATTTCCCTGCCCTGTTTGCAAACAGCTCTTGCAGGCTGGAGCTCAACCAGATTAGCAGCCATTAATACTGGATCTGTATCTAAATGATCGAATAATCTTTGAACCTAATTAGCATTGATTTGCACCAGCATTACTCAGAGAAAATACCTGTCCATACCTTAATTCCTTTTTTCGTAAGGAAACTACGTAGAAAAAAAAAAGGGGGAAAAACAACTTCATTTTCTCCATAAAAGAAATTTATTTTGTGGTCATGTTTCAGTGTGTATCAGTCATCATTCAGCTGTACTGAAATGTGCCATTAGAAATACGTTAAGAAATGTACAGTATATCACCAAGCAGCTGAAATGCAGCTTGGATTGCATATAGTAAAAGGAAAAAAAAAAATCACAAACTTCATTATTTTTCTTTGAGAAAGTTTCAAAATACAAAATGATAAAACAAAAGCATTTGTTTTTAAAAAAATGTCACAGTGGACTATTTACAGTAAAACACCTTCTAACAAAAACATTTATGGGGGGGGGGGGGTGTGTGTGATTCCCCATGTATGTCTGGTTCTTACCATCTCACCTTCCCCTAACTGACAAAAGGAAAGTTACCTGTATTGGCTTTAACCCAGCAGCAAGTTTTCCACCATAGCTTGGTAAAACCACTACAAATAAACTTTCATGCTGTCCCCAAGGACACTCCCTTCTCAGAAAGTTTCCTGCCTTTTTTCTTTTTAGTAGTTATTTTAAGATAATGCCCAATAGCCAGATTCTGTAATCAGGTGTAAATACTCCATTCAGTGGAGTTACTCTAGATTTATACCAATGGAAGACAAAACTGGCCCAAATAAAACAGCGTAAGAGGGCCAGTGGGAAATTTTCCATCAAAAATCTGTTTTGGCAAGGAATGTTGACTTTTAATCAAAAGGCCAGACTCACACAACTGATAATCTTGTGACTGAGGAACACTACATGCCTCATGCAAATTGCAATTCATGCGTCTTACACCCCTATTTTCACTCTCGCTCATTTTCTGGGTGGGCTACATGAGGCACCATGAGGGCTCAGCAGGGAGATAAAAGTTGCAGCTTGAGTCTGGCCCACGGAGCAAAACAGGGCTTAGTCACCTGAATAACAACTCAAACCTACCACATCAGTGTTTCCTCTTAAATATCTGGTTTTCAGACCTAAGATTTTTGTGTGTCACTGAAAAAAAAAAAATATATATAATCAAACTTTTTCAGGTGAAAAAAATTCTCCATTTTCTCCAACCAGCCTTTTGTAGCCTTTTTAGGCTACAAAAAACCTGCTCCAGAACTGAGACAATTGGCAGGTGGTTTCCTTCTTTTAAAGGAACAGGAGAAAGCTCCTATGAATACTGTAGTTTAAGGTCTGTGCGCTGCCTAAGTCCTAAAGGCCCTAATCTTGCAGGAGTCCTCACAGAGACTTCAGTGAGGTTTTGTAGCATGGAATCAATTGCATACCTGGATGCCTAGGCCTTAAATAAGATGCAGTGTAGGGCTCAGCTTTGTCCTTTGTGCCAGACACTGCCAAGGAGTGAATTTCCCTTGTAAGTGCATAAAGCAGCAAAATAAGCCTACATCCTATATACTCTACATTAAACACTGACCATCCATGAGCCAGGGTTGCTATTCAAGGTTTCTCTTGCCACTTAGGCATGGCAACAAAAGCAGCTTTTTGACTACTATACACAGTATCTTATGGAAGCACTAAAAATAAATTTTAGAAATCCTTTGCAGGTCCCCTCTAGGCAGAATGAATGTTCACATTTTCACTTAGCACCGCTTGCTTACTCGAGCCCCAGCTGTTCAAACCAATGCATAAACTTGAAGTAGCAGAGATTAAGCCCCACAGCTGCTTTTTGTGTTTTCTTTTTAGTGCCTGTGGGCCATTCTTGTCCCACACCAACAAGAACATCAGCTGATGACTATGATAACTGACTAGTGTTCTGCTACATTCTCAGTAGTCTAGTTTTCCTCAAACAAGGTCTCACCTTTAACTATCTTCCAAACCAGAAGTGCCTGTTCTTAGTAAGGATCAGTATGTTTGCATTTTCTTCTCCTGCTGACTGGTTCCAAGTTCACACGGCATAAAACCAGTTAAGGAGCCAGCAGTTCTTCCTTACTGTGCAATCCAATTACCCCTGTCCAACAAAGTAAAGGAAAAAAAAATGCAGTTGAAATGTTAGATACAGTCCAGAGGTCTGAGAGCAGGGGAAAGGAGTCAGCAGATCCTGAGTACTAAATCCTAACTCTATTTGTGGTCCTGGAGAAGTCCTTTCCCTCAGCTTCCCCAGCTGTACAGTGGGGTTAATACTGTAGTATTACAACAACTGACTGTTCAGCATTTGTATTATGACTAGGACACAGGTTGCAGAGAAAGAGGTGTCTGTAGCACACAAACATAGCAATTTCTCTCATAAAAATGTTATTTTTTCATATTTGATCAGATAGATACTTGTGTTTTGTTTTGCCCTTAGCAACCACCCTCAAAGCCCTTTGGCAATGTGACTGTGATTATATATGAAAAATGAACTCATCAAAAAAGTGTAATGAGGTCATGAGTTAAATCATGTGACCACCCTAGCCTGCTACCATGACAAAGGCAGGCTCTACACCTGATCCGTTTGATACTCGGACGCCTCTGAAAGGCTTTCAGAAAAGCTCAGGAAGTTTTCCTGATACTCGGAGCAGACAATCTCGAATCTGTAGTGTCTGAACTCCACTGCAAAGGTGCCGAAGTAGCAGAGGAAGCACATCACCAAACCCCACTGGATCCTGGCAGCGTGCATATGGATCTCTTGGGCCATCAGGATGAAATCTGGAAATAACCTGTCAAGGCAAATACTCTCAAGTAGCACTAGCACCAAACAGGATGAAGTATACTGGGTTGATAGCCTCTTGCCTCCAATTTTATAGATAAACTATTGGGCAATGGCAACCAGCTTGCAATTGGAAAAAGGCTTTTAGTGAAGAACCAGGAAAAGGGTTCAACAGGCAGAAAATTAGACAGGCCTATCACATCTGCTAACCTGTCAGATGTAGCAGCATTTCTGATGAGGATAACAAGGATACTTCAAATCCCACCTACACCTCAGGGCTAGGGACAA